GCACTGTACCACCTAGGAAGGTGGGGTCTGGGCCCCCCCAAAAAGACTTCTCTTCACATAGACAAGAGGGAAGTGTTATCAGATCCTGCCATAACAGGCACGGACCTCAAGAAAAAGCATCCTGCACTCCTGAAAGATGTCGCAGTGTGAGCCATTCAGCACCAACTGCAAAAGGACCTGAAAATGCCTGCTCGATGTGCTGCCAAGAAACTCATGCTAAGTGAAGCCATGAAGAAGAAATGGCTTCAGTTCTGCAAGAAGTACAAGGATTGGACCTCAGATCAGTGGTGACAGAAGGTGATGTTCAGCTATGAGAGTACCTTCAGGCTCGTCAGGAGCGGCTCTAAGACTGTATGTCATCCCAGTGGTGTGTCCCGTTATGACCCGTGATATGCCGTGAAGACAGTGAAGCACCCTGACAGTGTTATGGTAATTATATTGAGGTGTTAAGGAACCACACGCTGGTATTTTAGAACATTCACGAGTGTGATTTTTTATTCACGATGGTGCCCCTGCCCACAAGTCAAAAGGAGTGAAAAAGTTCCTTGAGGACAATAATATCGGTGTTCTGGAGTGGCCAGGCAATCCACCTGACCTAAATCCTATCGAGAATGCCTGGCATGTGATGAAAAATGAGACTGCAAAAGCTTGACCCACCAACATCAAAGACCTGAAGGAGGCACTGAAGAAGCTTTCGATCAACATGGATGCCTCCTTCTTCTCCACCCTTGCCACTTCGATGCCCAGACGACTTCAAATGGTGATAAAAAACATTGGTAACATGACTAAGTACTAGTTGGATGCTAAAACGTGAAAATAAAATACATGTGCATACATTAAGTTGCATTTTTTTGGTTTTACTGTCCAAAAATTGTTATTGTATAGATTTTTTTTGGTGGCCACTGTACACATGCACGTACAAGCATATATATATACACACCCTTCTGGGTTTTTTCTATTTTCTTAATAGTTCTTGTTCTTGCTTATTTCCTCTTATCTCCATGGGGAAGTGGAACAGAATTCTTCCTCCGTAAGCCATGCATGCCGTAAGAGGCGACTAAAGTGCCGGGAGCAAGGGGCTAGTAAACCCTTCTCCTGTATACACTACTAAAATTAAAGAGAGAAACTTTTGTTTTTCTTTTTGGGAAACCCTGCCTCGGTGGGAAACGGCCGATTTGTTGAAAGAAAGAAATATATATACAGTGGTACCTCGAATTTCAGCCTTAATTCGTTCCAGAAGGCTGTTCGAGTGCAGTTATTGAACGAATCTGTTCCCATAAGGAATAATGAAAATTAGATTAGCCCATTTCAGACCCCCAAAAATACACTTACAAGAGACTTACAAAAATACACTTACATTATTGTTTGAGTTGGGAGTGTTCGGATTCGGAGCCGGTTTTGGTGTCAGGAGGTTGTGGTGAGTTTTGATATTGTGATGTGATATGTATTAGTGTGTTATGTTTGATCTTATACTTTTGGAGATAATGTGAATTATTTATTTGGTTTGGTTTGGGGGTTCAATGGGTGGACCATCGTGGCATGGGTGACCCAATAATATATTGTATATAATATTTATTTTTATATATGGGATTACTATTTTATATATATAATTTATATGGTTCAGAGGTGGGTGCTGATTTCAGAGCGGGTGATGTGTATGGTAGGTGTTTGTGTATCATATTGCAGCATTTAGGAATTGCTGTGTTCTGTGTGTGTGGGTGTGTGTGTGGTGTGTGTAGTGTGCTGTGTGATGTTAGTTGTGTGTGTGTTGTGGTTGTGTATGTGGTTTGTGGTGTGTGTGTGTATGTGTGTTGTGTTTGTGTGTGTGTGTGTTAGTGTGTGTATTGTTGTATGTGTGTTTGTGTGTTTGTGTGTGTTGTGTGTGTGTGGTTGTGTGTGTTCTGTGTGTGTGTGTGTGGTGTGTGTTGTGTATGTGTGTGTGTAGTGTGTATGTTGTGTGTGTGATGTTGTGTATATGTTATGTGTGTGATGTGTTTTTTTATGTGTATATATATTTGTATTGTGTGTGTTGTATTGATATGTTATTGTGAGATTATTTATATAGTTGTTTATATATTATTGTTATTATATTGATTATGTATATGATAGTATTATATGTGTGTGTAGATGTTATTAGTGTTTATATTATTATATATTTGTGTTTTTATTAAGTTTTTTTGGTTTGTTTGTGTATGTGGGCTTGGTTTATGTTTGTAGTCGATGGTTGCATATTGGATGGGTTGGTTAGATGTGTATTGTTTTTATGGTAGTTTTTTTGTTTTGTGTGTTGTGTGGTATTGTTTTTTTTTTTGTTGTTTTGTTGTTGTTTATTTTTTTTATGTGTATGTGTGTGTGTGTGTTGTTTGTGTGTGTGTGTGTGTGTGTTGGTGTGTTGGTGTGTGTGTTTGTGTGTGTGGTTTGTGTGTGTGGGGTGTGTGTGTTTGTGTGTGTGTGTGTGTGTGTGTGTGTGTTTGTGTGGGGGTGTGTGGTGTGTGTGTGG